TCTGGATAAAGCACGGTTCTGGATAAAGCGCGGTTCTGGATAAAGCACGGTTCTGGGTAAAGCATGGTTCTGGATAAAGCACGGTTTTGGATAAAGCACGGTTCCGGACAAAGCACGGTTCTGGACAAAGCACGGTTCTGGATAAAGCACGGTTCTGGACAAAGCACGGTTCTGGATAAAGCACGGTTCTGAATAAAGCACGGTTCTGGATAAGCACGGTCTGATAAAGCACGGTTCTGATAAAGCACGGTTCTGGATAAAGCACGGTTCTGAATAAAGCACGGTCCTGAATAAAGCACGGTTCTGGATGTACAGCAGATAGCCCTTATAATTACTTACCTGTGGGGCATAACCAGGAGGCGGCGGTCCGACTGTAGCCATCTTGTCAAAAGCTGCACAGAAAGTTGGATTTACCAAAGGTTGTAAACTCAGGTGATTATTGAGGTTTATTGAGGAAAAGCTCTCCTTAAGCTGCCCACCCGAGGGTGGCAGCTATTCTTCCAGGAGAGGGAACATACATGTAAGACATAACAATACATCACATACAATTACATATACATTTACATTACATAGTATTTTAAAAGAAAACAAGTGTGTAACATCGTATGTGCTCTACTTATTCATGTCCCTCATGTGTTTTAGCAGGCCTTGTTTGAACTTCTCATGTGATGCCACTGTTTGCAGCCCATGTGGTAGAGAGTTCCATGCTGCAGTATTTCTGTATGTGAAGGCTTTTTTTAGTGCTGTTTGTTTTTGGTTTGTCTAGTTTGAAGGTGTTCCGAGTAGCATATCTGGTTCTGTAAGTGTGTTGATGTGATACCGGGCACAGTTGATTGTAGAGTATGGCTGGTTGTTTGGAAGACAGGATTTTTTTGAAAGTGCAGATGTTATTGATGTTAAGTCTCTCCTCCACGGTCTGCCAGGACAGTTCCTCGTGAATCTGATGTGACTGTTAACTATGTACACAGTATCTGGCTTTACAATGGTAGTAAATAAAGGTCAATTGCAGCAATTTCCTTTACAACCCTTGTTTAAGTCCGGTATTAACGTACTTGACTTTTAATTACTGCAATTGTAAAGTTCAGAAGTGTTTATTTAAAAACTATACTGACCTGGTAAATCTAAGGTTTCGTGTAGCGCTTGTTAAAACGTCAAACCGCGAAAGAAGATCCGCAAAAGTCAAATCTACAAGGAAACGAAAGAGACAAAAAAGTGCATCATTTGAAAAGTAGCAGTTCGTTTTCCAGGCTAGGGACAGGATCAGACACGGTTCTGGATAGTCTCCGTGTATCTAAGAACATACATTTGCCCCGGGCATGGTTCTGGATACGCGTAGACTATCAAGAACCGTATAAATCGGGGTTCTGGATAAAGCACGGTTCTGGATAAAGCACGGTTCTGGATAAAGCACGGTTCTGGATAAAGCACGGTTCTGGATAAAGCCAGTTTAGGCAGACCATGACTTCCTCTGCTCATACAATAATCGTTATTGACACAACAAAAGTACAGCGATTTTCCTTAAGTCTACTACTACAACTAAAGCTACGGCTACAGCTCCAACTACAACTACAACTACAGCTACAGCTACAGCTACAACTACAACTACGCTGTAAGCTTTAGCGCGCCGTCGAGTCTCAAAAGTCATCATAACACTTATACATCGTCAGTGTACCAATCACTAGTACAAAACGCACGATTTGCATGTATAACGTTATATTTATATAATCATAACGCACTAGTTGACGTTATACGCATTGTTTCGCTGCAAAACTGAAAGAGATTCCACTAACCTCGTGTTCCTCCGAGTTCCAGTCGACTGAATGCAGCTGGCTCGAACAATTCGAAAGGCTGACTACGGACTTTTCACATTGCTTAATTATTGGATTAATCCGCCAATGACGTCACTACACCCCATATAAGGGGCAGATAGCCCATTCACATGACGCAGTTCCTGGAAAAATCCGCCCCTCCGGGGAGTGCGGTGGAGACGGATCCCTGAAGCAGTGGGCTAGCCTCTACCAGGCATGAGGGCGCGGCTGCAAATAGTAGAAATTGGCCAAATAGAAAGATATAACACGCCGAGGGAGTTTAGCCATCCAGTTTACAGTTTGCCGGCCCCTCAACTGTAAACTGGATGGCTAAACTCCCTCGGCGTGTTATCTCTCTATTTGGCCAATTTCTACTATTTCCAGCCGCGCCCTCAAGCCTGGTAGAGGCTAGCAGTGGGCGGGAAGAAGGTCGAAGCCAGCTTGAACACAGCAGGCGCTTTTGATTCCCCCCCACACCCCACCCTGATAATCATAACTCATTAAGGATGATCCAGAGATTACGCAGGGTGAATAGTATACTGTTCTATTTCTTTATATTGTATGCCTACATCATACCAATAAAGGATCTTATTTTATGTGACCGAAAAGCAACGCAGGGAAAGTTAGGATGATTTCCCTGTTATGTATGATCGTTGCAGCATATATGAAATGTATTTTATGACAAGCCTACGTTTGTTTTCTTTGAAGATGGGATCATCACATTCTAAGAAGTGATGATCCCCCAGGTTAGAAAAACAATGGTTCCGTCCAACCACCTGCGCTCCCACCTGTTGCAAATGGTCTAATTTGCGCCACCTGGCGTGTGAAAGTGGCATTGCACGGACGAACTTTTTCAAGTCCATTCCAACAATTCATGACAACACATGGTGGCGGCATGCTCAAGTTTGTTTCAACTTATTCTATGCCGCCACCAACGCAGAGGACAAATTCAGGACAGACAATACTAATTTTTACTTAAGTGAGGAAAGTCGTGTTAAGTGCCTTTCCCAAGGGCACAAGATCGGTGGGAAAGGCACTTTACACGGCATTAACTCAAGTTTGTGAAGTCTTTCGTAATCATGCATTTATTATTGTCTAAAAACAACATGTACACAAGTAAGAGGTTATGAGAAACTTAAACTTTTCTTCAACTCAAAATTTGACTCACCAGAAATTTTCGACTGAATCACTCAGTCTTCCTCAGCTATCTGACCCAAATGCTGTGGACACGTGATTTTTCCCACGTGTGACGTCAGCAAAGGGTCAAAGGTTGTCTGAAGTCGATATCGCCCCCCGTCCCGGTTGAGCGATGGTTGAAGTGATGTATATGGCCTCTTTTATGCCTCTCTTGAAGTAATCCTGTTCGGTATCCAAGATTCTGACCCCCTCCAGATCCACTGTATGTCCCGGTGATTCTATGTGGATGTGCTGTGACACCTCAGATGCAACAGAACTGGGTTGTCTATGTTCTAGAAACCGGGTTTTTAGTGAGCGCTCAGTTTGAGTTGGAGAACAGTTTAAGTTTCTCATAATGTAATTTACCAACTCAGATGAAATTTCATGCTGACAAGTAAGAGGTAATAACATCTGCACATATTCATTGATCAATATATTTTAATCCTTATGGGCAACATCCAAATACTGTACAAGCTCTCCTAACCATATTTACATCTAGTTTAAAGACTTAAATATATATAGTTACGTTCAGGCGTTAAAATTGATAAAAAAATGCATAGTAAAAAAACACTAAGTGTTATAGATGTATGGCTTGAATCAACGAGGTAGAAATGCCTTAGCTTGGATACTGTCCTAGAATGGCTACATTGTGACAGTAGTCATAATCATTATCATGTAAGCCATGTTCCATATATATATATACATGTACTAATATATATTACCTTTTTGAAGTAGTGTAATGTTATTTTCGATACATAGAACTTGTAGGTATTACTGTAGACGTGAGAGTAGATGTTAGCTACTAATAGCTAGATATGCAGTACTGAAGAGTTTGCCATGCATTGTACCCGTTACAATTGTTGTGCAATAAAGATTGAATTGACTTGACATGATCACTGTAACGCGTGTAACGCATATATTGCTGACTTTTAAGAAATCATTCTTCCTCGTAAATAAAACGTCACTGCAAAACCGCAAAACGTAAAAAAATGTACACAAAAATCCAGGCTTCAGCCAGCCCCAAACGTAAATCCAAATTAAACCCTTGTCCTGCTGGCATTCCTGGCACGGTATTCAATAATTTCATGTCTTAATTAGATCATAGACCCCCAAGTTTTTTTTTTTTGCGTTTCGCTGCGGTGTGATGCGTTGCACGAGAAATACCCCCAAGTCGTACCTATACAGGGTGCTATGTAGATGGTACTGTATGTGCATAACAACAATTGTTGTGCTCCCCAGGACAAGGGTTGGTTAATATTTGTGAATAATTTGCATGTAGCGGAGACAGTCGTCTTGATGTTGCTATCCGGCGTTGTATTTGGGGCGTGAGTCAGCGTTTAGCCTTCGCTAAGGCACTGTATGGAAGCAATAGAAGAAACAGCACGTGAGTATGACCAATCTGCTTTACAAAAACTATAAAGTATAGAATGAGAATGTGTTTTTACAATCGATGGATAAATGATCTCTCTCCCCAACTCTCCTCTCTTTCTCTGTCCTTCTTTCTTACTCTCTGTATCTCTCCCACTCTCCCTCCCCTTTCTCTTTCTTTCTTTCTCTCTCTCTCTCT